CCACTTCTGTCTGTTAGGCGAGATTGCGCAGGGTGTGGTGGGCTACAGAGTTCCAAAAGAAAATCTGACAAACCTCTGGTCACGTTTACGTAAAAAAAGGAACTGACAAGGTCGTACGACAAAACGACATCGTAGCATCAGACATTTTCCAAATCCACTTCCGAGACCACAGATGTGTATCAGTGCTTCGTATCAAACGACTAGTGACACAAGGGTGTGTGTACGCGCTGTGCTGCCTTACGGTGTCCAAATGCAAGTTGCTCGAATGCCGACCACGCCCTGACTTACCCGTCTGGATAAAAAGGGGGACTAAGTGAAAACGTAAAATTCTAGTTAAAGCAGGGAAATAGAGTGCCCATTGTATATAGCAAGGGAAGTAAACCAGGTGCTCTATAAAAGGGTATTCATCTCCCCAGTTGTGGGAGAAAGTCGCACGGAGAGCAAATCAGCTACCAACCTACCTGTAATTCGATCAAGAAGACATTGAAAAAAGGATCTTTACAGCACGGTATTCTCATCGGAAGACATAAGAATGCCTTTGTGGGAATATTGCCCACTGCAGTCTGCCTAGACTGAATTGAACAAGAAATATGCTCTTGTTCAGCACAAGGGTAAACATTGGTGTTGTGTCTTGCTGAACGGTAGTGCAACTACGTATCTGTTCCTTGGCTCCTTGGTCCGCCCACTATGGTAAAAAGACACGTTGGTCCTTGTCCTGCACGTGACACATCCGTCCAAATGATGTGATGTTCGGTTATTAGGGACGGTTGGCCTCCGAACAATTGGCTTCAACCGTCACTCACTGCCGCCGGACTAGGCTCTTCTAGATATTGAGCTGGTCGACAGTCTATCAGTTTGGAAAGTCATTTATTAAAACGTGCGAACAGAGGCAAACCGAGTGGAGATGCGAACAGCTACCGAGTTTTATGCTTTAACTGACTTTTTCACTGAGTCTACAGAGACAGTCAAGTCGGACAACATGTATACGAAAAATATTGTCTTCTGAGAACTTCACGACGAGTTCTGTACCTGTTTCAATCGATCGTTGCGACCCAGTCGGTTATGCGTCTCCGTTTGGTGCCGTTCAAATGTGACAAACAGCCACGGAATACCAAACTTACGGTGAGATCCAGGACTTTCTTCTTTTGGTTCTTTTAGTTCTGTTTTGCCCCGTTTCTCCAGCGTTTCGCCTGCACCTACAACTGAACCTGTTAGTCTATCAAACAAGATAGGCAAAAACACGCTTTGGTTGTTTAGCTGGAAAGTCATGGCATACACATGGTGGGTCAGATGACTGGAAACCGTTGCTTCTGAGATCGCCTTCGGGTAGTATTTGACGTGGCCTCAAAGAACATAAATGTTTGTTTCCGAGGTATGAAGCGGCGTGATTCCACGCCAGCTATTCGGCATCAGTTCTGACAGTGAATTGAAACGGAGGTTCGGAAACTGGTCAAAATTTCGCAACATTTAAGTACGGAATTTCGATTCCCGAAATGATGCGGTACATTATCTGACGGAGGCAACTGTGAGCAGGCTTCCTTGTGGTTAACACATCAAAAGCAATTTGACGGTGTGATGTTAGCTTATCTTGCTGCCAAACCAATTCCACATATTCTTAACGCAATATACTACTCATTAGGTTGCTGAGAAGATTTCGTTCACCAGATGGATGCAGTCTCCGAGTTTTCGTCAACCTATGCTCCACTTGAACCCGAAGTAGATGCGATTCGAGAAACACACCCAGCTACGCACTAATTTGGTCTGGACGGGAGGCTCAAGTGAATCCTAGCCGATACTCTCACTTGACAGTCATCACGTGAATGTGCTGCACAGCGGCAGGCACCAATCTCCGTTGGTAGTAGGCCGCAGTACATACACTGATCGCAAGGTTGCTGAAAACTATCGGACAACTCACGACAGACGAATTCCGTACACGTTGTTGTTAAAATAAGACATGATGTTGATGGAAACTTCCACATGACACCTGTCTGATGAGCTCCAAGGGAGCGAGATGGACAAAGTGGTTAGAGCGCGAATTTACTGACCGCAAGATCCGTGGTTCGAACCCGACCTCCGGCACTCGACTTCCCCTGTCTAGGCTTGGGCAACCTGGCAGTGTCCCAGCCCTCGTGTGGCATGGTAGCTAGGTACCGAAAGGGTGCTACAATTGAAGAAATATACTGCTGAACGATTTTTTGAGCTCCAAGAAGAATGAAACCGGGAAGGGTTTTCGACAACCTTATGAGTAATGTGGTCCGCATCAGAAAGTTACCCTGACACTTGGAATATCGTACCAGGTAAAATATGAGTGGGCCTTTGCACAGCTGAAGAGTAATGGGAACGAGAGATTCAGCTGAGATCCATCTGAGTTTCTCCTCTAAAACCCTGTTGAGGTTCCCGATACAGGTCAAGTTAGATTCAACAGACTCAAGCTGGAGAGAATGGGAACGAGAGATTCAGCTGAGATCCATCTGAGTTTCCCCTCTAAAACCCTGTTGAGGTTCCCGATACAGGTCAAGTTAGATTCAACAGACTCAATTGCCTCTCAGATGGATGGATTTCGCAAGCTCAACACTCCCTTCATTCACACAGTCTTCTAGGATTTTCTCATTCTTCTGTGCTAAGAACAGAACAAAATGAAATAAAGGGACGCTTCTTCGGACTGAGAACAGGAAAGATCAGGTCGTCTTATTGCAAGAAAAAGTTGCTCATTACTAGTACGTGGTGCATCACGGCTTCCGGTAGACACTGTGCCACGTTGCTCCCACAACAGGACAACCTGATGAAGCTTCTACCGGGAATCGAATACGTCTTCCGGCGATTGTTGACCACAGCTGCATGCTGCTATGCCACAGGCTTCTGGCACCGTAAAGGGCAGTGTGACCCTAGTTTGTTGACCTTGTTTGGGTCAGTGTTCTACACGAAGGACAATGCTCTTTCCAGCCTGTTGAGTCACATGCATGGAGTACCGCCACTCCATATCCACCTACGTTGAAGAACACCACACCACCTGCACTTCTGTCGAAAAATGAGTCAACGGCTCCTGAAAAGATCACTTTCATGAACTCACTAATTCAAAAATGCCCTCAACCTACTGAGACTCTCAAACCCCAACAAGGATCTCTTCCAGATAAACCCAACCACTAATGCAAAAAGTTAAGCCCCGCCACTTTTTGCCAGCTCCAATCGAATGTACGCACACAATCTTGACCGATTTTTGATGAAACAACATCGTCGAGATCGATGAAACGCTAATATCTTGCCGTAAAAACCACACAGGGCGAATCCTTCCCCAGCAGTGGATTTTCCGAGGGATCTGCCGGGAAACTAAAGAGGTGTTCGTGTATGCAGTGCCAGATCGAACTGCGGCCACTTTGATGGACATAATCCAGGTCTGCATCGCTCCCGGCTCAACCATCATCTTCGATATGTGGGCAACATACCAAGGGATTGAAACGATGATTGACGAGAATTATACTCATCAAACGGTTAATCGTACCGGCACATACCGATCTTAAGTGGACAACTACTAGTGTGAGTTCGTTTGGAGGCAACGGTGCCGAAAAACGGACGTTTTCATACAAATTATTAATGATATGTTCCAATTTCACTCTTTTCAGTATAAACTAAAAGTAAAAATTTCATATCCTCATTTTTCTAATCTTTTTTGGGTGGTGGGGTTTAATTTTTTGGCGGGGCTTTTCTGGAAAAGATCCCGCAACAAAATCGCAGTGGGGAAGCATCCGGGCCAGAAAACCCAGCTTCTGATTGGACGCTCTGGCAGTCCATCAGTTCAGTGACAACCGATGATGATGAGTGTTCAGGCATGTCAGAGGAGCAACGGTCGACGATGATGAATGTTCACCCAACGCTTTAAATACCGCGACGCTCCTCAAAATTTTGCACGTTGTGTTCCCTGTTATTGAGTGTTTTTCCGACACTAAGGCACTGGAGCGGATACAGTGGTCAGCTAAAACATTGATATGCTCCCTGTTTTGTGCTCTGACTGTGTGAAGAGGCTCCAACCTCTTATTTCAGGAAGAAAACTACTCACAAGGTTGCTGAAAACTCTTTGACAGCAAGCTTGTGAGTAGTTTCCTCCATGAAAATATACTGCGATATCTCGAATATCGTGCCAACTAAAACATGAGGCGGCCTGTGTGCAGCACATTCAGTTGTAGAATATCATAAACGAGGGATTCAATTGAGCCTCCCGTGAAAACCAAATTGATTTGCAAATGAGTGTATTTCTCGAGGCTCCAACCTTCTTCGAGGTGTGCTGTCACCACCAAGGCCGTGGGGCGAAAAAAAGGTTAGGAACGGAGTGTGGTCTCCGGGTGGGGTGGGGGTGGAGGAAATGTAATTTAGGGCAAGCATGCACACTGTCACGAAGAGACTGGACCTTACCGTGGTGTGACGGTTTGCGCCCCTCGGCGATCTACTGAGCTGACACTAACATTGTCTCTCATACCAGATTGGTCAATGGTCAGAGGTCTGACGAACACAGTCTCCTGGCCCTCCTGGTTGGGGGTTGGAACATGTAGCGCCTTGTTCCGTAGAAATGGCAATGCATTTGCATTTCCCCGCCAAACACCGCTGCCTTGCGGTTAGGCTTTTGAGCCAAAGGCTTTGGTTGAGGACCCTAATCATCCTCCTGTCTAGGTGTGGGCGCCCTGGCAGTATCCCAGCTCACGTACAACCATGACCTACACAACTAACAATACAAGCAACGACAAAACGTTTCCGGTGAACAGGTGAGCAGTTGGAGCGAGCATAATCTGCAATAACCCTGAGGACATCGCTGTCATTACCATTACAACAAGCACTGGCTCCCAGACCCATTTGCTCCGAAGACATGCCTACGTTGTGTCCGTGACCGGCCGTGAGATGACCTCGTGATAGGCGTAAAGAAGATTTCAAAGTGCTTCAGTAGATGGCTATGTTGTCTGTGATCGGCCGTGAGATGACCTCGTGATACGCGTAAAGAAGATTTCAAAGTGCTTCAGTACGTCTTTACTTCAGGCGGTAGCAAATAGGTACTAAGTGTGAAGTTACAGATGAAGAGAAGACTGCCACGAAGAAATTGACTGGAAATCTGGTCCAGGTTGGAGGATACCTGAAAGCACATCTGCGGATGAGTTTGTGAGACAGCCAAGTGATTACTGGAGGCAGGTTGAAGGCGTCATGAAGGCAATTCAGTGCCACGTGTTGCCTTGAGTAGGAAACGAACGGGTGGGCCGTGGATGTAGTCCGCATTGGCTGGAGCGTCGACGCCGGCATCGTAAGCAATCGAAAGATCCACATAACTATCTCCTGCGTCCAAATCGAGGAGAGTAGTGAATCTGACAGAGAGGAAAAAAGTTTTGTTGAGGAGTGAAAAGTAGTCAAGGTGAGAGTCATCCCAGTTGATTTTACGGAATATAGGTAGCTCGGGTGCGTTGATTCGTTCTCAATCTGCTTCTCGAGCTTGGTACGAGCAAACGTCTCGGCACCTGGACTGCTGCATAACTACCTAAACGGCGGTGTCCTTACGCGTGGGCTCTTACACTTAAGAAAGCAGTTTAGACCCTGTATAAAGCGATGTTCAGAGTTCAGTTATGACGGCTTTCCCGTGCATCGCTGCAGGGCAACCAAGCCCGGAAATCGAGTAAACCTGAACTGACTGGCACCTGTTCGTCGAATGATAGATCCTGATCCTGATCCGCACCCGGGTACCATAGAGGATACGTGTCAGATGAAACCCATCGGAAACTGAAGACTTACCGCTTGCTCAATCGAGACTGATGTCCAGGCAGATAGCTTATATAGACCATTCGATTGCCCTGAGTGATAAACGTGGCCTCCAAGGCGTGTTGTTTCTGTCGAAAAGAACGAAAAACACATGAAGGACAGTCAAAGATGAGCGGAAACATAACAAGCGAAGTCGATTAGTCTGAAAGGTGAGTGAGTTAGTTAGTTATTGATACGCCGCAACATCTGCAACAACTGCATCTTAATGAGTGGTCTTAAAAGACCGACAAACTCTTCAGTGACAGATGCCTAGGAAATCAGCTGTGGATAGTAAACGGCTCGAATAAATTGAAAAGGAGGATCCTGACTGTCCACTGAACATACTTGGCCGACCACTTGCTGTTTATGATACGAGTTTCTGTACCGGACTGGATGGTACTAAACTACCGGATACATCATTCGACTCCGGATTCTCTGGGATTCGTGGATTTATAAATGGACACAAACATCGCTTACCTGATGAGCCTCAAGAAGGGCAAAACCGGTCCTACGCAGTGAAACAGTTTTCAGCAACCGTAAGAGTAGTATGTCATGCTTAGACGATTTATTGCGATATCTCGAACATCGATCTTATGCCGCCAATTCAGATGAAACAAACGATAATAAACAAGAGATGTAGCTAGATTCAGTTAAGCCTCTTGTCAAAACCTGTCGAAACCTGCCTAATTTGGGTACAAGTAGAACGTACGGTTGAGGGGAGCCGTAGAACTGCGCCTACCCGATGAGTCCGAAGAAGGGTGAAACCGGCCGTGGGCGATTAGTTTGTAAGCGGCATGGAGACGTATATTGGTACGGTAGTGAAGCGCCCTGATCTACTATGGTGTTTCTACGAGGATCGCGATGAGTGTGTTCCTAGAGAGAATCGTCCTCACTACTCGGTGCCATAGGACGTGAGGACAACGACATCAAGGAACCCAGAATCTTTCGTGAATCTTCCATGCCCAGGGATGCGACATGCATTTCTACCAACACGCTAGAACTAATGTGCCTGGAAGAGGGTAAAGCTCACAAACAGCATGAACCATCTGAGAAGTTGTCACTAAACGAGTAGCTAGCACGTCATTTGAACTTCGAGATCGGAGGGCCGTTCAGCTGCAGCATCCTTCCGGTGCCTAACTGCCATGTCACCAGAAGGAAAAACGAGGGTTTGGATACTGCCAAGTTGCTCAATCCTAGAGAGAGGAAGTCAAGAGGCAGAGGACGGGTTCGAACCACGGACCTTCCGGTCAGTAAATTCGCGCTCTAATCACTGAGCCAGCCCATCAAGTCTAAGGGAGAGTTAATCGTATTACTGGTCAGTCACTCGCGGTGAAGTGGCATAGTATACAACGCCCAGATGGAAGGCCACGGGTTTAGCTGCGCACAGGTGATGAGTTCCGACAAAAAAACAGATACCAGTTGGCTTTTCAGAGCAGACTGACTACCAATACCCTGTGTGCCTGGAGATTCTGGACAAATTTGGGAATATTGGAGAGAGGACTCTGGTCTGATGATAAAAAGATGTAGAACCGTTCTGATTAACAACCTAAGCGTCCCTGAAAAGGAATTCATAGTTCCATCTCCTATGACTCGTTTTACATCACCTGTTTGCGCCCAGTAGAAAGTCGCTAACTGCATCTACTACCTATTCCTCAAGTAGTATGTTCCGTCGCCTGGGAAACATTGTTTCGGATACCATGTACCTTTTCGTGGTACTACTGTCGTTCAAAACGAAGGCGCACGATGACTCAGATACTGGTAGAAAACCTAGGCGGGATCCACCGAAAAGCTGGAGGTGGGTTCAAACTGGGGACTTTCTTTTCACGCCCTAATCGATGAACTATCTTCCTGAGCTCTTCCTGCCTCGAATACAACATCAAGAAACTGTCCAAAAGTGATCCCTTCTGAGGATCGAGGCCCAATGAAAAACGATAAGAACACTTTGCGGCACTGCCTGGAGTGTTTCTGTGCCACCAACCCACAGACCAATTTTACCCGAAAACCGTCATTCGATCAGAACTCAGCTGCGAAGTAAACCACCGAAGTGGGATTCGATTCCGTTTCACGACGACGAAAGAACTCACCTTCAAATCCAACACAAAATCCTCCAAAGTGTATACAGCTAGTGGTTTCGACGGGTCGACAGTCCAGCGATCCCACAAAGTGAATTCGGATTGATTTGGCAGTGGGATTCTCGGACACGGCGCAGGTTCGCTGAGGATAATCACTGGCAAGGCCAGATTGAGGAAACTGTTGCGTGCTGCGTGTGTCTGCGAACTGTCTGACGTTGACGTGCGGCAGGCGTACTTGACCAATTCCACACAAACAAGTCCTGCCACGGCAGCCGTGGTGGTGGCGATTGCTGGAACGATGCGTCCGGCTATGCGGCGCACCTCATGACGAGGAGTGACTGGCAGACCGTACATGACAGCTCGGAGATTCTGCGACGAATAACGGACATGAGGGAAACCGGATGGATGGACAGTGAAAGGGCTGTGGTTAACAGGTTGAAAAGATTCACTGAGAGGTACATGGACGCCACGTTGTGAGGTCATTTCATATAGGTGAGGTGCCAGTGAAACATTGAGATAGGAATGAAACAAGCGGCGCATAAACTGCGAACCGATTGGTCAGAGGAATCACCGATCAAAAAAGGCTTCGGTTAGCTTCCGAAAATTCTTATTTAGGGAAAATCACGCGTGTACAAACAACCATCCTGGACGCCTTGCTGAACCTTGCATTAGCTGTTCGAATTTGCCTGTGCCAGGAGTTTGTTTGAAGTACTCCGATTGTTTACATACATTTCCAACTGGATGACCTTGGCTTGCACTGACCTTCAACTGTACACAGATTATTGGTTGGCAGGCTTCGAACCGGATTCGGAAAGTTATTGGCTGTTCGTGTTCCCCTGTGATTGTTGCGGCTCTGCATCGCCTCGCATTGCTACACTAATCAACTATTTTACAATGGCACGGCAAGCTGGCGTGTTACGTCTTGTGGGAATCAAACATACTCGAGTGAACTTGGTTCAGACTGTTCTCCCTAAACCAGCATTTCTCAGCGAGGTGACGACAAGTTGAATGTTGGCCATCTGTGACGATACATAAGCGTTTGCTATCACCGGTACTTGTGGTCATCTAGAATCGTTGCAAGATGTTATCATGCGCGCATCATTGGAATAGATAGCACTGCATTAGCACGCGTCGCCTGAAAGAATCTCCACAAACTGCAATGGATATCTTATGTGCGTAAGCGAACGGTTAACTCTCGTTTAGGGCTGACAAATCTGGGCTGCTATCAACATGAGTCCTGGTTGACGCAGACAAGTCGCAGTAGTCCATGTTGAGTCGTTCGGTAGGCACAGCTGTTCAGGCTTTGATAAGAACTTTATGTATTGTTAAGCTGTAGCCTAACTGCCATGCCACACGAAGGAAGCACGAGGGCTGGGATACTGCCAGGCTGCCCAAGCCTAGACAGGGGAAGTCGTAAGGCAGAGGTCCTGACCTTCCGATCAATAAATTCGCGCTCAAACCACTTCGGCCATCTCGCCCAAACTTTTTGTATACATTGTTCCAAACGGAATGGAAGCTAGTCAACAACAGCTGACCAACTCCGCCGGGCGTTCCAAACACGCCGTATCAGTAGGAACAACATGGTTTTAAAAATGACGCTCCAACAATCGTTTCAGGACCTGTAGTTTCAGGAAGAGATCGGCAGACAAGGTGGCAAGCTGTGAAAAACGTCAAGCTTTTGCTTTGCGTATGATTAGTCGAAGCAGACGTAAAATTTTCCAACTTGTGGGACCTTTTTTTACTGAGTGACCGTCATCGCATAAGCCATATTTTGCGTAGACCTCTGCCTCTTGATTTCCCCTGTCTAGACTTGGGCAAGCCGGCAGTATCTCAGCCCTCGTGCAACCTTCGGGTAGCATGGCAGTTAGGCACCGAAAGGGTGCTACAACTGAACGATATTGTGCTTACAGTAACTCCCTTCCCCATGGCACGCTAGGGGGTAGTTTGTTCAGTGGAATCGCATACACAGTACTGTCCGATGGACGATGATTTTGTGAACACGGAAGTCGGACAACCTGTCTTCAGACGGATATCTGTGAGGTGGTAGGCGCGTACGAATGACCATGTCTTCCATCACCGTATACACTTTCTGGCTGTTCTGATTTTGTTACTTACGTAATTCATACACATTTGGAAAAGTGGCGCGCTGTATTGAAAGGCGAACCAGACTTGGTGGTGTGTCTAGATGGCTATGGAGCTAAAGAGTTGAAGGAACGTTTGATAACCTATTGGCGTAAACTTTTGTGGAGAAAACGCGTTTCTCCATGTTTACGAGTACGCTCCATGATCGCAGATCTGCCATGATCTGTGACAAGTGAGACGCGGTTGTCAATGGACAATAAGAGCAACACAAAACGGACGGAATAGTTAGTGATTCAATCCGCAAAATCTGGGGCCTGCAGTTCCCTCTGGGAAACGAATTGGCGACTGAAAACTAGAGTTCTAGACTGATCGACCGAAAGCTAATTGGACCACCCCTATTCTAATCTGCACCAAGTGAACAGGTGTATGACACATGGCAGAACAGCTGACGCTTCAGCTAAGCTCTGTTGATGCCCAAAAAGGATAGTGGCCCCAAGCGAGCTGCGTTCAATTGAACCAAGAAGCCGCGTGAAGAGAGACTAGCTCGAGGAAACCATAGCTTAAAATCAAGGACGCTGATCATCTCCTGAACCAAGGTTGCCCAAACGGACAACCATGCACCAATTCGGCAGTCTCATACGATTAAACACGAAGTCTTCAAAGTAAGAAGTAGTGTATCGACAACTCACTGCAGCCGAAGCGATAAAATCCACGTGTGCCAAGCGATCATCGTCCTTCTCAAAAGCCACAGAATGGCAAGCATATATGGCTGATTAGGGGGTAAACACAAAGATGGGACACAGGTAAGTTGTGATCAAACTAAAGCATGGCTATCTATGAAGAGAACCACAGTTAGGGGCAAACAGATGAGGACCGGTCAGTGACAGGGGAAAAACGCTTCTCACCGGTCTACGCAACGTGATTGGTCTGAGGGATTTGGTCCCCAGCCTGTCTTGTTCAGTCAGCCCCAAACAATTCTACTGACTCAGCAGTGTGTGTGACCGCGGGTTTTTGTGTGACTTTCTCCGCTACCGTTCACCTCTGAACATGCAAAATCACCGACTGGACGCATCGTGAACTTTGACAGAGAACTCTTGAGAAGTCGAGTTTCATGGTGAGATGATGCGAAACGCTAATAAGGCCACTTCTCTTATCTAAGCGATAACAGTCCCTAATCGGAAGTTTTACAATGTGTAGAAGTAAGTTGACGGGATAAGCAAAGGGGAAGAAAAAGGAGGTTCCGGAGGGCACTTTCCGTGATAGTAACGGCTGAATGATGTAAAAGACACTATTTCAGGAAGTGTCCACAGATTGTCGACAGGTCGTGCTGAATGTAACTGAGAAGGAACCCCAATTGTTGTGTAATGCAAACGGCGATGCCAATTCTTTGTTGGTCCTTGGCCCCACTTTCCACCCACTGTTCTGTATCAAAAGGCACGGTGTCTTTAGGCAGTCCTTTAAAGAGACAAAGGAAGACTATTACAGCCGTATGGGGTTGTCGTAGAATTATCCACAAGTCCATGCTTTATTCTTCGCAAAGAGGCAAAAAGCGCCGAGCCATGAAGCTCGATCCCCATTGGCTGACGATCTGACCAATCAGGAAAAGCCTTCGTTTAGTCCATAGCCTAAATGTTCGTCCAATCGACGTGATTTTCAAGCGACTGCCCTCCGGACACCACCCGAAACATGACAGCAGTATTCTGGGGTAGGGCAAATGTGGGAGTCATAAAGGCGGTAGGATTTGGGCAGGACTGAAACCTTTAGATGCTCGCATCTTGAGGAACAGGATAATTTGTCAGTAGAAAATAGGCCGAGAACGACGACAGGTGAGAAGTGTAGAATGGTAGCAAATACCAACAAAAGATTTAGGGAGATGGATGGGATGAACTGGAAGGGATGAACGTTGCTCAATTGGACAAGTCCCAGTCACGGATAATGTTGGGCAGGTTGAAATCTTTAGATGCTCGCATCTTGAGGACCAGGATAATTTGTCAGTAGAAAATAGGCCGAGAACGACGACAGGTGAGAAGTGTAGAATGGTAGCAAATACCAACAAAAGATTTAGGGAGATGGATGGGATGAACTGGAAGGGATGAACGTTGCTCAATTGGACAAGTCCCAGTCACGGATAATGGCAATATCGATGTTCGGGATGGCGGTTGTCGCACAGTCGGAGTGAAAAGAAGCATTGAGAGAAATAGGTCGAAGGAAAGTGCACAACACTGTCGTCTGCAAAGACATGGGTAGAAGACCCCATTGTAGATAAGAAATTGTTTACATAAAAGAGGTACAGTGTGGAGGACATTACCGGTCTTTCGGGAACTCTAACGCCGCAACATTGGCTTCATCAAGAGTCTAGAGAGGGGGACATATCACCTGTAGAGTGATGGTGCCGGAATCCACATTTGTGATCACTCGAAAGGTCGCTATCTTCAAGAGCGCGGATTTGGTTGGTCCAAAGTGCTTCAAGAACTTTGGACAAAACGAGGGTAATGGTAGTGGGCCAGTGGTTGTTGTGGTCACGGCGAGAGTCACGTTTCGGAATAGGAGGGACAAACGATTTTTCCCAACCCGAAGGAAACATATCAGTGAATACGGTTAGACGAAAGTACCCTGAAAGGACTGCGGCAAGTTCGCCACAGAGTAACAGAACGAAATCGGGACAAGACTCTCCGAACCAGGTGGTTGGGTTGAGAGTGTTGGGTTCCGACGAGAGGCAGCAAACACTCCTCGTGGTGATCGTTGGCGAGTGGATCAAATAGGATGGATAAAATGGTACATGGCTGGAGGGGGGAAAGACCAAGAGGCCAGAAGTTGAGCAGCGGAGATCTTTACTTTTTCTAACACAAGGGAGTTAGTGTGTAGCGACCCAGTCACCCACATACTTGACTGTTCAACTCACAGTCGCTCACTGGATCGCGAGGCTTGTCTTTTTGTCACACTCACAAACACGTCGCATTAAGCTGACACATCGGACATCGATTGCCTGCACCGCCTAGTCAGCGCAGCAACCATTCATGTGCCGACGCGCCCACATACACACACTGGGACCTACATAAAGGCAAACCGAACCCAGTCAAGACACAAAACTCGCGCGCGCGCAGGGAGCAAGCACCCCAAGTCCACGGACAACCATGGAACACGTGCAGCAGCCAAACTGCGGAGAAAACACGTTACCGCCGTCCGGACTTTCACCAAGGCACTCTCACATACGATAAGTTCCTTTTTGACTTGCTCCCATTTCGCTTTGTATTCATTTTCATACGTGTCGCAACCATACAAAAGCTTCTATTAGTGCACACATACACCTTCTGATCTGTATTATGACTATCACCACCTGTGCACTAATAAGTGCTACCAGATGTGAGGGACTGGGGAAGAACAAATTTTGTGATTGACTGCTTTGAGCAGGCTCCAAAGTGGACGACTGTCGGTTAATACTTTCAATAGTACGCTTGCCTTTCGAGTAGTAAATTTGTTTGTGAATCTGTCGATCATAGATGAGCAGATATAACGTGGTCAGCTCGTGTTAAGGGACAGAGATAGGCCCACCGACGCCTGTACATTGTGTTTTTTCTTCCTTCCTGCCTGCCACAGAGGAGACACACAGAGAAGACACCAGGGCCGGGGTACTACCGGGTTGCCCAAGCCTACTCAGGGTAAGTCGAGTGGCAGAGGTCGGGTTCGAACCAACCACCTTCCGGTCAGTAAATTCGCGCTCTAACCACTTGGTCCATCTCCCTGTCTGCAGGCACATATGGTTAAACCATTCAAAGGATAATTGCTTCTTTGGTTTGAAAAACCGGGGGGAAAATTGACTGATACCGTCAGACAGGATAATAGTAAATTCTTTTCTCCGAGAAACAGCACTCCCAGGGACAGTTGCTGAAAAATTGGCAGTGTAAGAGTATCGCCGCAATACACAACGAGGGGAAAGTGGGTTTTAGGTGTGAGAGAAATCAATGAGACAGTGATGAGAGAAACCAAGGGGGATAAAAGAGGTCACATGGTTCAAAGGAGGTCAAGGGTTTGAGTAGTATCACCGGGTTGGAAAGCGGGTGAGTTGGATAGGCGAGTCGGAATAGAAAGGAACTCGGCTGGATGATATATTTGTCGGGGAAACGGCAGCGAGATCGGATTGAAACACTCGTTCACAGGTAACGTTGTGTCTGTGAAGGTTCAGTTTAAACCGAAATAGTTGGAAAACGGTAGTACAAGAGTCCAGAACGGAAAGGCGAGAAGCGGAAGCAATGGAAAAGTGTACAGGGTGAGGTCACCAGATCATGACATTTGGGTCCCAATGGGGAATAAAACAGAATGTGAGGTGGAGGAAAGAAACGAGGTACCCTGGTAGTCTGTATTTACGTTTATTTAAAGGTCAGCTGTAGCAGTTCTCTCGGTGCCTAACTGCCAGGTTGCCCAAGCCTAGACAGGTGAAGTCGAGAGGCAGAGGTCGGGTTTGAACCACGGACCTTCCGGTCAGTAAATTCGTGCTCTAACCACTTGAACCGTCTCGCCTTAGAATCGAGAATCATATAAGTCTCCTGAAAGTCGGGCGACGGTACCTCCCCGGGCGATAGTGTTAGCATGAGACTTTACGACCTCGAGATGGTCGGGCAGTTAAGGCATGAGATCGGCAGGTCTAACCCTGGTTTCTTTTGATTACCGAAGTCCCTGTTTGAGTGACCTGGCAGCAATCCAAGCCGCCCTTGTATTTCTCAAATAGCGTGAGAGCCAAAGGGCCTGGAAGAAACTACGCGGCACTTGGTGGAAATGAAAGGGGAAAAATAAACCACGCCGGAAATGTCGAATATCTCACACTGAGATGTCTGTGCAGATGTATGCCGCCAGCGTAGGGTTGGGGGCACGCACGCGCTTTCCAAGAGGGAATGCTACTCATCTTCGGAGGAGTCTTTGTTGGGGGGTGGGCGTTCTACCACTAAACTGGGTGAATATATTTATGCGAATTTGATTAGAAAAAGATTGATCGAAGTCCATGCATGAGAGGGGGGGGGCGAGACGGTTCAAGTGGTCAGAGCGGGAATTTACTGACCACAAGTTCGGTGGTTCGAACCCAATCTCAGCCTCTCGACTTCCCCTGTCTAGGCTTGGGCAGATCCCCAGCCCTCGTGCAACCTTCGGGTGGTATAGCAGTTAGGCACCGAAAGGGTGCTACGGCTGAACGGTTTTTTTATGCAGAAAAAGGAAATGAAGTTATGGACGGCAATAACGGCGGAAACACCGAAAAAGTACAGCATTAGAGCAACTTACACCGTAGTTTCATGGCATCCTGCAGTGCTGTCAAAGTCGTGCGAAGCGCTCGGATCGTGTGCTCGTCCAAGTTTAGGGGGTCGTCACCTGTGGTCGCTTCCGCATTCTGGTTGTTCACAGAGGCTTCGGAAGTTTCATCCTCGTCGGTAGCGATTCGTTTGGCCGACGGGACAAATACGGGTGGAGTATGGCCTTGCAGACAACGGTCCAGGTGCCTGGCCAGATGTTCAGTGTTCGAGCTGTTAAAATCAACGTCCGCTGGAGGAGGGATTGCCAGCTGATCCGCCAGAAGACGAGAATAGCTCATGAGGAATTTCTGATGCCTGAAATAGATGACAATGAACCAATGGGAATCGGATTGTTGTGGAGCCAAAAGGCCGGATGAATAAAACGAGGAACCGATAGCAATTGCGATGACAGCAAATCCGAAGACTAGAGGTGCAACAAATGATGAGGAGATTGTCAGTAGAGTGAACCAACAGAAGAGGACGGAGAAGAAGACACGAAATGTAAGACTAGCGACGTGCAGGCCCACTGAAAGGTATCCACAACGGACCACATGCACACGTCACCGTAGGCTCGACCGCCAGCGCCCGAACGGCATGTAGTTTGTGTGTTCTGTCCGTTGCCCTACAGACCGCATCAATGGAGAGCGTTAAGGGTGATCGCTTCCGATCAGAAACCACCAGAGGTCTGCACTGGTAGTTGCGCTTCGAGGGCATGTAGTGCGGTTTGGCACGGGAACCAACGTAGAAAAATCGATTAACAACTATGAGAGTGCAAAATGTCCAGAGGATGAAGTGGATTAGGGTAGTTGTTAGTCGGACCAACCCAAGTCTCATCACCGTCAAAACAGCAGTCTCTGCTGACAAAGTGTCCTTCAAAAGACTCCACTTTTCGTTGCTTCGCTGTCAGACGCGTGACTGAGCGACCACCAAAAAAACGGACATGCAACAAACACCAGAATCTTAAAAGTACGTAGTTAGACGGTTGGATGAACGATTATGAGCAGCTGTACTACTAGCTACGACACTGATGCGGATGTGGATTGCCATAGAAGATATCCAGTAGATTTTTCTGGTAGAATACACAGTTGACCGAAACTCGGGAGCCACGCCGGCCTGACGGGCCCCAACAAGGGGGAAACCGGTCGTGAGCTGTCGAAGAGTTTTCAGCAACATTGTGTGTGTAGTGTGATATCTCAAATACCGTACCAACTGAAACACGAAGCGGCCTTGTGTGGCATATTCATTTGGAGAATCTCCTAAACGACAGATTCACTTGTGTTGCTCGCGTGAAAACCAAATTGGTGTGCAAATGAGTGAGGAGACTGCCTACCTGTTGACTACATCCAGTCGCTGAACAATAGGGAATCTAATGTGGAATTTAGAGTTACCGGCCTGTTGAGTTAACTCAGTTAACCCACTGGAGATGTTAGCATCACTGCTTGTCGAAGCAACCGGTAAGTCAGCGAAAACACTCTGCTGTGAAGACACGGTATTTTTCAGATGGCGGGTAGAACGGTGGTTAACATGAATGGGCTTCTCAGACAGTAAAGTGGAGGCATGAAGGTTGTGGGGCGAGATGGCTCAAGTGGTTAGAGCGCGAATTTACTGACCGGAAGGTCCGTGGTTCGAACCCGATCTCTGCCTCTCAGTTTCCCCTGTCTAGGATTGGGCAACCTGGCAGTATCCCAGTCCTCGTGCTTCCTTCGGGTAGCATGGCAGCTAGGCACCGGAAGGGTGTTACATCTGAGAGATTTCGCGGAAACCAAGAAGACGAATAAAAAAGCCAAAGTTTGACTTGATTAATTTTCGATATGGGTAAGAAAACGGACGGCTGTGGGGCCACCCGCCCGCGCTCGACTTACAGGGGATCAGTTGCACGAAATTCGACAGGAGTCGGTTGGCGCTTTGGCAATTGCCAGAACGGAGCTAAAAGTTGGGAAAAAGGGAGTGGCTATGTGAGAAAAACAAGAGAATGAGGCGAGTATGAATTTGAGAATGAAAAACGCACACGCAGGGGGAGTAGTTACGTAGCCATGGTAATTTTTGATATTGATGCGAGCAGTTGGAATTACTCGCTCATGGACATTTCATTCTTACCAGTTCCTCCTCTACCATTCACAGAAAATCTTCAAGGTATACGAGTGCTCGGAATATGGTCAAATAAATCGTCATGAACAGCAATGAAACGGCAATAGTGGATTCGGGTGTGGCCATAGCAGTTAATCGAATGTTGTCAAGATTGAGGTTGCTCCATTCCGTTTTTGACGTTAATTGGTTTCTAAACCCATCTGGACTCGGTTGAGTTTTATTGTGCTCACCGATTCGCGTGAACCATTTGGATAGTCAGAAGTCTGTGTGTGAAATGTGGAATGCAAGGTGGTGGCGATGCACTGACTCACCAACCTATGCACGCATCGACTTGTGGAAAAAAGAACTGCGCCATTTACGAGCCTCACGAATTGAGGACGTCAAATAGGTGGCCTTCAACTTCTGTCCAATGCCAGCTGCTGTCACATGTGAGAAATCACATAGCTTCACGATGACGTCAGTTTAGAATGTTGGCTAAGTATAGCAGCCCGAGTTAAAAACAAATGATAGAAATGGATGAACAAAAACAGAGGAATGTCACCACGATTCACGTGATCCTACTTTTTGGCGGTCCCCACTCACACCCACGCAAACACATACAGATACTCAGGAAGTCAGACGTTCAAAGATGAAAGGTGCTTTTCTGCTATTGCTAGTGTGTATAAGGTGATTCCACGTTTCTGTTGTTTCCGTTTTACGCCATCTTTCTTGTTTTTGATCTGAACGTCAATCACCCTTTGACTTTGTCATTTCACGTGTTGTTTAGATCATTACGTTGGCTTCACCATCGTGTCGGCCTCGAGTCGGTGTGGATTTGGGGATCCCGCTAGGAATTAGCCGTTCCTAAATCGGTGTATAAAAGCCGGCGCAGTCCCACGATTTGTGATTTGTCGTTTTATCACTGTATTTATAGTGATGCATTTATTGTTATACCTCCATTTTTTGCTTTTTGGATTTTGTGCGTAACTGAAAAAAACTAGAAAAGGTGGACGAGTACTTAAAAACCGTGTGGCGTTGAACACGTTTGGACGTTGCATATCCGTTGACATAAAACTGGAATGATGCGAAGGGAATCAAGCATTATGTTGGGCTGTTTGTAAACTTCAATCAAACATTCAATTGTGGCACCCTAACACCGTACCAGGCTTGCGCGAATTCAGTGAATCGGAAAGCAAGTTCGATTGTTCCCAGCACACTTGGATGTCTGATCGGACTTTCCAATCGTGTCTATTCGATATCGATCGACCGATTATCTATTCGTTTTTAAGCCCAATGTTCCTATGGTGTTGTTCGTGAGCAGTTGTACTTGACTAGCGTACTAGGGGGAGGAATTGCTGTCGGCGGTCTTTAATTCGGCAATAATTCGTTGCGGACCAAATCCCCTCACACTATCAACAAACTATAAGTAGTTTTGAAGGAAGGATAATTGACGAGATGAGTGTATCTTCTATCTGAGAAGTGAATGAATGACGAGTAAGGCTATATCGTGTCTAAATGCGAGTCAGTGCTGATCAGCCGCTTTTGACCGAACGCCTACTACCAGCCGGGGAATCGGGAACAAATTTCCTTTGAATGTTTGACCATGGATGCCTTCGGACAATTGCCCGATTCTGGTGGGAACACCGGATCAGCCATGCTAAAGTTTGTCGAATGGTATTTGGGCTCTTTTCGCACAACCACGTGAAGGGTGGAAGAGAGCCAGAGGTCAAACAATGACTTTGCAGCGAAGTATAAAAGCCATTACCAGCAAACTCAGCTGTCTGATCACTGACGTCTTTTTGGATGGAGACCCCGAGATGGGCCATATCAATGGTTGGATACATCGCCAGACATGGCCCAGTCGCGCCATCAATAGGGCTCATGCATCCAAGCTATTGCCTTCAATGCATAGCTCCCTTCCCAACCCTCCCACTTAACAGTCCACCTACAGTGCTGTATTTACGCAGTAGTTTATCAGCTCCCGCCTCCGATGCGCAGCTACCTACCTACCTCCCCGAATCATCGGTGAACGAAACTGTGGCAATTACAACCACTGTACGACAAGTAGGCGGTTATTAAAGCTGACCATGATGATGAGGATCGCCGAACTTGACAGACGTTTCGTCACCATCTTTAGTGCGCTATTGGGTGGATGTACAAAAGTACACATGGAAAAGTGATCAAATCTATTGACGACACACCCGTTATGTTCACTGAAATAGTTATTGTGGTGCGTGTCGTTAAAGCATGTGAGCGAATTCAACAATAATGAATTTGCTTCAGATCTGTAGGGACAGCGTGTTGAAGAGGACACTTGCGACTGAGGCTCAAAAAAAAACTTGGAGAAGCGGTAGACTAAATGCAAGAACATCTTCACGTGAAAGACTAGATTCGGTCCAGATGCATTGCTAACGGTCGATGTTGCCGTGCTTTGAGAAGTGCCGACGAACCAATTAGCAAACAGTCCTTTAAATGACCTTGGGCTATCCTACCGAATGAAACAAAGTCCTTAGGCAAAGACTGGTGGTTCACAGGTGAGTAAAGTTGTCCGTTCAAACGAGGAAACCGTTGACAGAGATCACATTCTGACACCTATTTGGGGTATACCAGTGATACGAAACGTTAAACGGTTCTTGAAAATGCTTATGACCAAATATTCAGTGGTGGATGAAATACATTTGAATTGGTGACCGGCCTTCTTAGTTACCAGACTTCCAAAATCCCTTCCCGAAATTCGGTACCCATTGCAGAAGTTCCTTTGTGAACGGAGTTGTAGGATAACAACTGAGACTAGATAAAACGATTGTACAACGGAGATTTCTGGGAATCAACTAGGATGATCCACCTGTCGTGGATCACTTGGTATTAGGAGCAAGTTCATTTCGCTATTTCAAATTAAACTTAGACTACTTACACTCCCCACTATATCCTTCATCGGTAGCATGCCTCACTGGTTCTGAACGTTCCAATAAATGAGTAGTGTGAGTGCATATGATGCAACTGGTGCTAAAAATGGAAGCGTTCAGCTGTAGCACCCTTTCGGTGCCTAACTGCCATGCTACCAGAAGGAACCAAGAGGGCCGGGATACTGCCAGGTTGCCCAAGCCTGGACAGGGGAGAGGCAGAGGTCGGGTTCGAACCTTCCGGTCAGTAAATTCGCGCTCTAACCACTTGGGCCATCTCGCTAAAAATGGAGCTTCTTTACTGGTTTAAAACTTGGTGAACTGAATGTCACTCAATTTCGTTAGTTGTGACGCTATTTCCTTAATCAAAGATGCCCTCTCCAGAATCCTCATTCAGCCATGAATTCTTAGTAGTGCAAGTGGAATACGAATGGGAGAAACATCTCTTAGGGTGGGGTGACGTGAATTACGAAGGAAACGTCGGAGATGTCCTAAGGAATTGTCCCTTTTTGTGACACATGTTGGGTTAACGGGCGATAGCATTCGGGTACAGTCTGCGTTGCGAGGTGAATCGTTGTCAGTTGATTCACCGAAGCAAGACAACGTCCAGAGCAAGTCAACAAATTGTGTGCAGCCTGCTGTATTTAAACTATATGCAGCTGCAATACCCCATCCTTGGGGACATACCTCTGGATGTTGGGTTTATTTTTCGACCAATCGGAGATCGCCTTGGTGACAGACCGAAACACGGGCAGACAGTTTGACCAAGCACGAGGGAATTTAGCGTCTTGTTCGCTGCAACGCCTAAATTTGAGGGGTGAGGCACCCTGGCCACAGAGTACCCCCTAACAAGGGTGATAAATTCAATGCTTCATGTTTCACAGTAAGGTTTACGCATCATTAGAAGACATTGAACATAAATTGGCGTCTATAATTTGTTTTGAATTGAAGAACCGCTCACGTCTGTGCTGTGTTCACCGGTATCCGGACCATAGTTCAGTGGGATCAGTAAGTGGCAGACAAACATCCTAAGAAATGCAAACTTCACGCGGCTACAGATGTCCGTACCGAGGGGAAAAGCGAAGCACCAAACCGATTCCAAATTCTTGTTCAGCCCAGAAAGTTCAACGCTTATCTTGTAACAGCTTCGCAGCCCAGACCACCACTCAACCAGACTGCATTGATCCGTATTTCACAACTCCATTCGTCCAGAATTTTCATGTAGCTGTTGGGAATTTGGGCACTTCCGCATGCATAATTAACGTTTCACATTTTTTTCATGTGGAAAGAGACTTGCGGTTTGTGTGGAAAGGGTGGGAAAAGAAACTCTGTAGAAATCCGGTGAGGACTGGACAATCCTATGAGACGTCTCCACACCGGGTGGGGTTTTACTGTGGCTAAGAAATTCCCCCAGGATGAGCGAATACAAAGTCATTACATTTTGCTCAAAAGTTGTAACAGCTAAGCAGCAGGCACAAAGTTCACAAACGATTCATGCGCCCTTGAATCACACAGTCAGCAAAAGCCAAAGCGATTGCTGGAGTGTCCGACTGCAGTGATAGGGGCCCATTAGCCGTCCAATGCTCTTGTCTGCAAAACCTTCGCGAGAGGAATAAAGCTTTTTACGCCACAAATGTTGCAATTTGTTGCATATGTGCATTCTTATTTTTGCAGCCCACCGAATTTCATTGTCTACTGGAGCAATCATAACTCTGGCGGGTAAATCTGATGGAATAATTTTCCAGAATCGTTGAGACCCCGGGATGCCTAAATGGGGTTCAAAAGTTTAAACTTATCAGAAACGTCAGCTTCCTGAAAGCAACCACAGAATGCCCGAAATCTACCGAGACTCTCAGCTCCGCTAGATGCTGACCAGACAGACAACGCCCCCTCAACACGCAGCGCGTCACAGCCTTGTATCAAACCCAGACAGCGCAAGTCAGCGTTGATCAAGGTCAGATAACGCACCCGCAATATGCAGCACGTCGCAGCCAGACCGTGTGCGTCAGCATTGGACCGAGTTCAGACAGTGTCCCTCCAATAAATAGCTTGAGGCCGTTGTACTNTTTGCTCGCGCTCTCGCACTTGCTTGTTCGGAATATAGCTATTGCGTTCCCTTCCGTGAGTCTTTTCTCTCCGACACTAGGCACTGGAGCGGGTCAGCAGCAGATATCTCAGATTGGCGAATCGGCAGATATAACAAAACTGATACTCTGAACTTAATTGGCCGATTGCTCTAACCCACCAGGGACACGTCATCGCTTGCGAAAATGCAGTTCCATTGTGCGAATACTGAGCACCGCAGCGATTCAATTCAGGCTCACAAGTTCGAATGGTCGCCAAATCGACGAAGCGTGGGAAATCCGAATGTGAGATAAGCTGAAGCTACATGAGGCGCACAGTATCCGCACAATGGAATTGAATTTTCGAAAGCTACGACGTGTCCTTGTAGGAATAAAAGACACAGGAAAATGAGTCCAGAGTACAAGTTCAATCTTTCGAGCCCCATCTAAACATCCCGGGGGAATCAGCGATGCTAAGAGAGTGTTCCACCGGACTTCTTCCGTCAGAGGCTGCAGCGGACAATGAAATTCGGTGAGCTGCAACTATATGAACGCAGATTAGAATGGTTCTTGTTATGAGCACATGCGCATCAAAATGCAACATTTCGGCGTAAGAAGTTTTGTTCCACTCGTAAAAGTTTTGCAGCTAAGAGCATTGTACGACTAAGGTGTCCCGCTACATGGCGGTGTAACTTACGGAAGCCAGCTTCCTTTCATTGTTATCCGGGCCCATCTGAGCTCTATGACAGTCAAAAAAGTACAACCATGACTAAGGATGCCGTGTGGAAGCATTACGGGTTCACTAAACCGTGATCAGCATAGTTAATCGGCGATTTCATGGGAACAAAAACAGAGCGAAAAACAAGTCTACAAATGCTGTATTGGCTGTCACTCACTTCCGTCCGCAAGTCTGGTTTCCGGTGGAAACGAATGGAGCAGTTGACGTGCCTTGAAGGGAAACGATGGATAAGTCACGCGATCGTTAGAATTGAATGAAATATCGTCTGTACTAATAATCGACAGACTGGGTCACGCAAATAGCCAGATTAGTGGAGCTAGGTTGGAAAGAAAATGCTGTTGAGTTTTTGTGAACAGGAAGAGGGGAGTCCAGAACAAACGACCACACAAGTGCGAGTTTCGCACTGCTGATGATTCTCAATGATGAGGGAGAGGGAGCTGTACAGTAGTTCTCGGTTTTCAGCATAGATTGGCTTCAAATTCCCTCAGACTAACTTCAATCCCCCATTTGGCACAAAAATGAAAGCTTTTCTATGTAATCGATAAACCGGTGTATACAGTACCACCACAGTTGTTATCAATCGGGAGCGTTTCTCAAGAGAAACATCGAATTCTTGAAGAAGCACACAGTTCCTGACCATCTTGTTGAAAATTCAATGGTTTCAACCTAGTTCGGTTAAGAGTTCCCCGTCCGCACAGATCCAGTCTTGCGTTCATTGCTATCCTGAAAGTGGAGTTTCTGAAAACAGGTGTTGTTGGGGAAAGTGTGGGAACAGACACTTGGGATACCGTGGCTGAACTTAATTTAGGGGTCACTTGGAGCTCCCCGAGGTTGTTTTTGGGGGACGAACATCTAAGGTAATGCGAATACAGTCCAAGTCGTGTATAAAGTCAGTTCCACCATTACCGTAAAACGCACGATCGAGTTCGTTTGCGAATTACTGGGTTTCACAATTCACGTACAGACGAAAAGAATCTGACATCAGTAGATCTGGCGGAAGGTTTGAGGGCTGAACAAAATAGCGGAAAAAACCAAACTGATTTGCGAATGAGTGTATTTCTCGAAAACAGTCCAATTTGGGTTCGATTAGAACATTATGTTGATGGAACTCGGGGACTGCCCTTACTTGATGAGCCCCAAGTAGGGTGAAACCGGCCGTGGGGTGTCTAAGAGTTTTCAGCAACCTTGTGAGTAGTTTTCTCTATGAAAATAGTGGATGCTTTGACGAGTTTCGAGGCTACTTATGGGGCCAACGCAACTGAACCGGAGCTCGGTTCATCAACCGCAGACGAATAAAACTTCATCTATGCTTTTGTATCGTTCCGAGACGCATTCAGATAGTTTTGTGACTGAAATTCCCCGAAAAGTTGCTATTAACCGGTCAATCCTGCGGTCAGAAAGTTCCAAGAATGACCTTGAGATTACCAGGATCCTTCAGACCTATCAAAGACATTGGGCGTGTAGCATAGCATCCCCATTACGCCTATAGCGGTTGCTAACTTTTCGATGGAAGTAAACTCGTCAGATTTCTGCTGTTCTGACGACTTTTTTCAAACTGACCAAATGACTGCGGTTCAAAACGTCACCAGTGAATGATTCGAGCACAGTAAGGACTAACATACCTTATGATTGAAGTATCGCTCAAATTTGTCTCTTGCCAAGCGAACACAACCATGCCAATCGATCGGTCGCGAGGCAAGGAAACTAGCCAAACTACAAGTCAGCTGACCAGACAACCATCTGGCTTTGATTTCGCGTTCAGCTTCGTCGAACAGCTGATCCGAGTTGGCAGTGGGGATTCGGAGCAAATTGGCGCATAACACAGACAACTGACGACCGGGTCTGCTTCGGTCCAGGACGGTTAACAATTGGGATAGTCGTTCTGGTTTGAGGGTAAATTGACTTGCGAACTGGAAAGGAGTGAGATAGGACACGGTAAGGCGGAGATAAAAACAATGCTATCAAACAGCAGCTCAACCTCAGAAGTGGATGCATTACACAAAAAGCGCCCACCTTTTCACGAGCCCACTCAACACAGTGGATGGACAGTGTGGGAAATGACTTAAGCGTACAGTAAGGGATCGATTCCGCACTGTCTGGACCACCGTCGTCATCCCGTTGACTGTTGTAGGATTCCGTGAGACCAGGCAGAATGACCTGTACGTGACCTTTCGTGCCCAGAGTTCCACTTTCCAACAGCGGAAGATGAAGAGAAACGCACCGTGTGTCCAGGTAACGTCGGCTAGGAACACAATCCAAGGCGGCAAGGACTATACCACTGGGAGCAGGAGGCTCAGTAGATTCGTGGCCTTTAGGGCTTAGTAGGTTGAGCAGAAACTCATCGGTGAACAGGGTCTTCTCATTCGCCGGCCATACTGGATTGGAAAATACGAAAAGATATCAAAAAAGATAGAATGGGTCACATTGTGCATGCTAGGTACGGAACGAAAGCTAATACGACTAAGTAAATACACATACACACGTTAATGTATGCAACACAGCATACTAGTGAGTGATGGAACAGGTAGCGAATAACAGATGCTCAACCCAAACTAATCGACAGTGTTCGAATGGGATTCTTCAATTCTACATCAACTATCGACTGTGTGAGGATGTACCAACTTCTTGGATGTCTTGAGGCATGGCTCTCGCAGGGAGCGATCCAACGCTGGTTCGAATGGCGCAGACAATTCAATGTTGGACTTCACAGAGTTGCTGTAAAATAAAATAATAAAAAATCGTTCAGCTGTAGCATCCTTTCAGTGCCTAACTACCATGCCACCAGAAGGAAGCACGAGGACTGGAATACTGCCTAAACCTAGATAGAAGTCGATATGTAGAGGTCGGGTTCAAACCATGTACTTTACGGTCGTTAAAACCGCCCCCTAAACACTGAGTCATATCGCTGGCCAGCAAACAGACAAGGATACTTC